CTTTTTATTTACGCGCTTTTTCATGCGGCTGCAATGGAACTCTGATTAGTCGGCGCCTTTAATCGTGTGTGTAACTGTAACTTGAGGCGGGCGCCATTGTAACTGTATCTTTCTTCTTGCGCTTCGTCTTTCCCGCCCTTCTGCTCTATCTTTTGCTGCGTTTTTGGTAGCCGCGGTCTGCATGATCGGATCGATGAGTGGAGAGCGGCTACGTCCCCCACGCCGCGATCAGACCATGCAGATGTAGGCAATCCCTCCCCCTTCCCTTCTTCTAAGTCCTTGTAATTCCGTGTTCTTCGCGCATGCATGCACGCTATAAATTCCGGCTGCGCGATTAGTTAACTCTCTTAACCAGCTGTTGGAAGCTCGGGGTTGCGCGATCAGGAAGGGTCGGCACACGAGCGAAGTAAGAGGTGAGTAGATCAGGATTCGGGCGACCTCACGAGCTGGTGCCAAACGCGCGGGGTTGACGCGGGCCACGACGGACTGTGGGCGCGGACGAACTTGACGGGTGCGGGAGGACTAAGCGGGGTGACGGCTTCGTGGGTTGGTGCCCGACGACGGACTGTCCGCATCGGATAAGAAGAGAGAGAGAAAGAGAGAGTTGAGGTTGATGGACGCGGAGTTGCTGTTTCTTTTACTCTCCTGTCTCATGTATACAAGTTTTGATTTTGACTCTGGGCGGTTTGCCCGATTTTTGTTTATCGAAATTTGGACTTGGGTTTTTGCTCATACTTGTCCTTGCGATTTTTCCCAGCTCCGAGGCACTGTGTGTATGATTGTTGAATGTATGGATGTATGGATGCCATGATTGATTGCTTATCTTTCTACCAGATCCTTGTCTTTGCTTTTTGTTGTCGCATTCAATGCACTCGTGTGTAGAATAGGAATTTTGCGCAATCGATAATCCTGTCCTTGTCTTTGCTTGTCCTTTGATCGAGCTGTCGTTGCATCTTGCATACTCATAACATCACGGAGTAATTAGACGATTGGATGCCGAGCTTGGCGAACGCTGCGCGAGGACACGTGTAAAGCGCGATCTGAGTTGCACACTTACACGTATCCCCGGGCGTTGACTCGTCAGGACCATCGATCGCAGATGCCCTGCCCGATTGGGAGTGGCCATCCCGGAATCCGCAGCGGCACAGTCGTCCCGCACGAGCACGAGTAAGTCCGACGCCATTCGCGTGGCCTGCACGTGCTCGCACGCGGAGACCTCGATCGCCACGGACCCGCCCTTAGGCAACTCATAATACCGCAATGACACAATGATGTGATCCTGGAATTCCGACTCATCATACAACCCAAATTACTTCACCCCTTGGATAAACGAAATCCTGAGGCAAAGATACCCCTGCCACACTTTGAACCGATTGTGTCCCCGGGAATTCCATTGTGCCACCTTCAGCGACCCCCGGTGTTCTGATTTCCCTTCTCCGGACCATACCTATTACTTCATCCACCCCGCATTTGTCGTCATCACCACCAGTTTCCCTCCCTTTCGCCTTCTTCTTCCATACCATCAACTCAGCGTCGTTCCGTGGCCGGCCATAGCCCCCTATTGGCCCAGCACACCCTGCGAAAATTGCCGACGACGCGGCGATCAGAGAACCCCGACGTTCTGAATGCCTAACATGAACGCGCGACGGCCAGCGCCACGTGGCAACTCCCGACAGACGGGCTTATCAGAGAACCCCGGCGTTCCGAAGGGACTCGCCCGCGAACCGCCGTCCCCGAAACCAGTGGCTCGCTCGGTCTTGAGCGACCCGCGCATACCATCTGCCCTGCAACTCGAAGACACCCTCTCCACCAAATTGCAATCGTGCCCCTGAAAGACCCTGTTACAGGAGATCTCAGTTCTGACCTGGGACTCCACTTTCCCCAAAAATCCTTGGCACACCCCTTTTCGCACTTCCAGGCCCCCATCCTACTCTGATCAGGAAGTCGCGCTGGGCATGAGGTTGGTATCGGAGCCCGACACGTGGCTGGGTCTTAGGATCGATAGCACGTTAATTAGGCGATTTGGCTAACCGAGGGCGGCCTCGCCCCCGGAACGCGCATAGACGCGACCCCGTCATCACCCGAAGGAGATCAGCTAATCGACAAGCAGCCAAAATAGTTGCTAATGTACAGAACCCGAATCCCCAACAGATTGCTAATCAACCAAATCCTAACCAACCCGTCCCACGAGCACGGGCTCCCACGATGCCACGTGATCTCTATCTATTCGATCCAGCCCATCATCTCGCAGGAGCATGGCTGGCCACGCTTAGAGCGCAACATATGATGATCACGAAGCAAATATAAACATTCCTGCTCAGTTAGGAGGAGATGCTCATCATTGGTTTAGTACCTATGTGTGGGTCGATCTCCCAACCTTCGAACGGGATTTCCTGAATCGGTTTGATTATGTCCACCCAGAGCAAGCACTTTACATGATCAAAGATCGAGTACAAAAACCCCTCGAGTCTGTCGCCGAGTATCGAAACCGGTTCTACCGAATGTTTGTAAAGACCGAGCAAGGCGAATAAGTCGGGAGAGATTTGTTCATAGATGGCATTCGCAGCCGAACGATGAGAGCTAAATTGCGAAAGCAATTTTCCCCCATCACTCACATGCTGCAACAGATCATGGCTGCTGCGAACGAAATGGAACGGAAGTTCGCGGCGAACTTCCTGGAAGGAGAAGATTATTCCAGGGAAGGAGATTCGTCCGAACTTGCGAGGGCGAGAGCTGAGCTGGCTGCATTACAAAACAAGTTCGAAAACATGGGATTTGTGTCAGGTCCCGTCACCTATCTGGAGCAGATAGGACCCAAGCGACTAACCCCAAGTGAGATTCTGAGCGCCCCTGTTCTGGTGATACCAGCGCCTGTAAGGGCGTTACCCCCGCCACCAATCGAGAACCCTGTGAGATCGAGTGAGTCCGCAGCCATTTTTTAGCTCACTAAAATGCTAATTAGCTTTATCCAGGAAAGCCAAAAAGAACAACGGGAGCATAATGCTCGAATAGAAGCTATGATGAGAAACATGCGGCCTATTGCAGTGTGTGCTCCTCCGGTTCAGCAAGGGCTGGCCCCTGCGTCGGTTCTTGGAGGAGCCGCAAACAATCTGAACGTCTGTTATGCATGTCATCAACCAGGGCATCTAGCCCGTGATTGCTCCCACAGGCCTCCGCAACAACGAGTCGGGGTCGCACCGATGGCGGCGACTCCCATCGCTAACGGACCAGGACGAGTAGGAGCTTTGATGGAAGAAGTAGAGGGTGGGGGAAGTGCATTAGCTACCGCAGAAGAAACCGCTGAGCTCATCCCATTAGATAAATATATATCGCTTGGGTATCCCGGGCTTGGAATGATCGGAACAATCTGACCGGCCCCAGAACAGAAAGAAGTGGCGGAGTGGCGGCCTTCTCCAGGTGAGATGGAGTCGGGAGGACCCACCTTCGTCACTGGGGAAATTGATGTGCTTAACATCGTTCGAGCCTTGGACCATCGGATTCCACTCCCTATCGGCCATCTGCTCTCGATCTCTGAACAAGCTAATGAGCGGATGTTACAACACTGCAAGGCGAATCGGAAACGATTCGCCCTCGCCCGAACCACGAACATAAAAACCAAAAGTCCCACGCCAGACGAAAACGCGACGGAAACGTCAGATCCAATACGGGTAGGACTAATACAGAAAGATGATCATTTCCTACGGATTAAACCCATCCCCTGGAAATCCGCGGAATGCGACATCGAAATTTGGGGAATTCTGTATAACGCAATTATAGATTCGGGAGCTGCGGTTTTGGCTTTTTGACTGAGAGTGGTTGAAAGGGTAGGTAGGAAAACGATCTGATCATGCTTTTCGAGAAAGATCAGCTCGTTTCGGCCGACGAAGAAAAGATTAAAAGAGTGGGAAGGATGACCAACGTCGCTTTCCGATTAGGGAAGGTGCACGCACTAGGAAATATCCTTGTGCTAGATGTAAATACCTACGACATTCTTTTTGGGCTTCCCGCTCTTGTGGCATTACGAGCGAACCTGGATTTCGAGTGAAGGTCAATCCTCCTCCGAAATACGAGAGGAAAACCCTATGCTGTACCGATGAGACTGACCCTTCGTACTACCATCAGCGCAGTCCCATGGGTTTCGCCGATGATGGCAGGGACTCTCCGTATGATCTCCTGAGAAGAATCCGCGGATGGGGAGTCATCCACAAATGAAGCAGACAGCAGTGACGAAAATGACCCAGAGATCCTGAAACTAATGCAACAGCGCGTTTTTTATCCGCCACCCAGAACGATCGCAAGAACGATGCATCAAACCAGTTGAAATATTCAAAGGACTAAGGCTATGATTTTAGGTGAACCCCTCGTACAGATTTTGAGGATGCTTGATTCTCTGGAACCCCCTCAAACCCTGTACGAAGGAATCACCCCGCTTCTCGCCAGATACAGCGACAAGAAGCATTACTGCGACATTACGGATCTATCAAGGTCCCTCTTGACACCTGCAAAAGAAGTGCGACTGTTGCGCTTGGGGGCAGAAGCAAGTTCTTTGGAACCTCCTGGGCGCCTCGAAGCTGACTCGGACGAACTTGGAGTAAAGATCGCGACCAGGACCGTAGCATGGCAGGATGTCTGTGACGGAATTACCCCAGAAGGACACGTGGCCATTCGGGACTGGCGATCGGATCACTCCTTCATTTCTGCACCCCCACCCGATGTCGCGAAACCTGCACGCACAAAATAGATAGATGTACGGATCTGGGACCAACTTTTCGAGTTACACATACCACAGTACGTACCCGATGAGATTCATCGATTGATTGCGGACATTTTGATGGAATATCGGGGAGCGATTAGCGTGACTGACACTGACATTGGCCTGTCGTTAATTATTCAACACGAAATACAGACGGGGAATCACTCCCCGATCCATTGTAAGCCGTACCGATACTCCCTGATAAAGCGCAAAAAGGCTCTTGAACGAATCCGAGAATTCGAAGCCAGCGGGTGGATTGAACCCGCCACCGGACCATGGTCATTCCCGTAGTGCTAGTGCCGAAGAAAAATGGATCAATTCGCATATGCATCGATTATCGCAAGTTGAATGAAATCACGATTAAAGATGTGTATCCCCTCCCCCAAATTGATGATTTGTTGGATGCGATTGGTTGCACTAATTATTTCAGAAAGTTTGATATTCGGCATGGCTTCCATCACATTCTGGTGAAGGAGGAAGATCGGCCCAAGACGACCTTTGTACTGTTTGAGGGCACGTGGCAGTGGGTTCGGTGTCCGATGGGGATTTGCAACTCGCTTGCCACGTTTGAGCGAGCGATGAATATGATATTCCAGAACTTCGTCAACAAGACGTGGTTAACACAAGGGATGATCAACTTCTGCGTGATCGTGTACATGGACGATATCCTTATCTACTCGGAGACCTATCACGGGCACGCGCAACACATCGAGTGGACATTGGGAGCGCTGAGAGACGCTGGGTTCAAGATCGCGCTCGAGAAGAGCGAGTTTTTCCTCTCGGAAATTTCGTTCTTGGGCTACGTCGTGACATGTGGAGGACTGCAGCCGGACTCAAGAAAGGTTGCGGCGGTAAGAGGAGCCCCAGTTCCCACGTCGCTGACGCAGGTTCGGGCCTTCTTGGGACTGGCATCGTACTATCGCCGCTTCATCAAGGGTTTCGCCGTGATTGCACGACCACTAACGAACCTGCTACGGAAGGACCAGCCTCTCAGCTGGGACACGGAGTGCCAACAGGCTTTCGCAACCCTCAAGGACGCTGTGGCGACGACCCCTATTTTGATTCGGCCGGACCCCTTGAAGCAGTTCATTCTTATCACGGACTGGCAGCTGGAAGCTATCTCCGCTATTCTAGCGCAGAAGGGGAACGATGGTCGCGAACACGTCATCGAGTACGCATTGCGCACGGTACTGGATGAACGGAGAAATGACTCAGCACCTCAGGGAGAATGCTATGCAGTAGTGTGGAGAATCCAACACTTCCATCTGTATCTCTACGGACAAAAGTTTCGCCTCGTAACAGATCACGAACCATTGCTGGCGTTGAAGAAGCTCACTAATTACATAGGCATGATTGGTCGTTGGGCAGTGCGACTACAAGAATACGACTTCGATATCGTTCATCGGAAGACAGAGCGACACTGCAACGAGGACGGACTGACACGCCTGCATCGATGTGCTAAAGTACCAAAGGGCGAGGAAATTACACCGTGGAAGGAGCCGGACTTGACAAACGAGCCTAAGTACGGACAAGTGGCAGTTCTCCCACGTGGCAAGAAGCAGAACGGTGGCAATGGGTGATGGAGGTAACCTCACTACCCCTCTTTCTCCCCTCTCCTCTTCGTCTCTCATCTCCCTGCCTCACAAATTTTGCTATTTTTGCGAAGCCATCTCCCGCGTGTACTCGGTCTCCATGCATCCTAATAGGGAAGGGTATGCTGACAGGATAGATTGTCGACAGTGTGTCGCACGAGCCCATGGCTCGTGCATCCAATACAGAAACGACGGTAAACCGTGGTTGTGCCCCTTGTGTCGAACTGACAAGATTCCAACCGAGGCTCGCTTTTTGGATGCCACGTCAGAAGCGTTGGAAAAGACCCGGAAGTTTAGAAGGGCCGAAGTATGGACTGATATCGCCGTGATTGCCACCTTAGTAAGTAACCCCCTCCATGATTTCACCAAGGAAGATCGGAGGAGGGCCAACGAGAGGGCTCGGGATTACAAACGGATGGAGGGCAGATTAGAAAAACGCAAAACAAACGACAGTGGGATTTGGATAGTTGTACCGCATCCGTTCATGAGGTATGACTGGGTTAAGACGGCACATGAAGAAACTGCGGCTCATTTCGCCGTACGGATCACAGAGTTGGCTATCGACAAGAATGAGTGGTACTGGTCCAATATCCGCGACGATGTGAAGTACATCGTCACTAACTATCAAGTCTTCGCCGCTGATAAGGCGCCGATTCAGCCGCCAAGATCGATAGTGCCAACGGTAGTTGAACGACCCTTTTAAAGGGAAAGTATGGATACTACCGATATAGTGGTGCCCCCTGGTCCTAATAGTTGCGATTATTCAGTCCAATTGGTATTTGTCGATCACTTTTCGAAATGGATCGAGGCCTACCCTTGTCGCACGCGACAAGCCACCGAAATCGCGCGGTACGTCAACCGTTTTATTGGGATGCACCAAGATACGGAAGAGATCCTGACTGATAACGGGGCTGAATTCAGAGGAGAGGTGCTGAAGAATCTGGTCATACACGGTGTCACCACTCGGAATACTGCACCCCACATGTCACAATCCAATGGACTGGTAGAAAACGCGAATAGGGTGATAAAGACGGCGTTGAGACGAAACATCGCAGCGCGGGATTCAAGGCCCTGGCCCGATATCGTCGACCACATCCTGGCGGTCCATCGTGGAACGCCTCACGAATCGACGGGGCTAAGCCCCTTCCAATTAAGGACCAATAGCGTTGCTTGCGTATCGATACCAAGCCTCCCTGATGAATCCATGCTGAGCCGGCGGCCCACCAGGGCCACGGCTCAGGACAAAGGCAAACGACACCTAGAATTAATGGAACGGCCTCTACCCAGGCTAGCCCGAAAACGCCAGAAAATGACCGAGTTGGCCCATGGCCGACAGGTCCGAAGCTACGAAGCCCGGAATGGGAACACAGGTCCACGGCCCCAATACAAATTAGGGGACATCGTGCAGGTGAGGAAATGTGCTCGCCAAGGCAAGCTAGCGCCACGATTCTTCGGGCGATTCTGCGTGATTGCGCTCGGACCGAACGGTGTGAACACTGTGCGGCTTGCGCCTGAGGTCTCCGGCAGCCGATCGGCTCGTCCGATCATCCGCCACGTGTCCTACCTACGTCCCCTTCCTCCTTCTCCACCTTCGCATTCATCTGATTCCTCCTCCATTGCGGAAGAAGGTGACGACTACCTCTCTCCTGTCTCTCTGTCTCCTTCCTGTTCTTTCTCTATTACCCCATCACAATGGCCATGAGCTTTGCAATGGAGCAAGTGATCGGCGCGCGGCTTCTTACTCCGTGGGGGCGAATCAGTGTCATACGGCAGGGCAGCGGCCCCATCTCTGCTCTGATCTCCTCCGGTTCGCAGCTTTCTTTAGCACGGCGGGGATCTACGCAGCGGCAGAGTTCCGATTCACGGAAGAAGCAACTACGCGCGTTCAGGCCGAGATCTTGGCCTTCCGACGGCTATCCCCCCCCGGGATTAGCCATATCACCGTCATCATCGTCTTTACAGGAGATATCACAGCGATTCCATCGGCGATTCACTCCGACATCTATTGGACGTTGCGTGCCTGGGCTGGGGAAGTGCGGACAACGTGGACAAATCTCCTGGCTCAACGAGGAGATACCGTCGTACTGGTGCATGACACGGACCTCCAGCTCCGCTCGTCTCGAAGCTCGCCAGCGATCGTGCTACCGGAGCTTCGTCCCTTTGCACCACCCCAATAAGCCATCGTCGCGTCTCCTATTTCGGCCTCCCCTCCAGCATCCCCACCCTTTGGCAGTCTGCGCGGGCTCCTACTCTCTCCTACTGTGTTAAGGAGAATAGTGCGCCGCTATTGAGCGAGGAGAAGTGGGAGGGGTGGTGGGAGGACTATATCGAGCTCGCTTTCTGTCTATTGGAGATAGAGTTCCGCTGGTCAGAAGCGGCCCCGTTCGGACAAGGACCAGAGCACCCAGAGGACAACGTGGAGCTTCTGATCATCCAAGCCTGGAGAACGGCGGAGCAGGGCGATCTGCTGGGATTCGTATTCGGGAAGGTGGAGGAGGGCAATCTCACCTTGATCACAGACGAGTTGCTGGTGTTTCTGACTCAGCTGGTGGATGATCTGCCCCTGGACATCTTGTCACGCAGTGACGAGCAGTCCGACAGCCACGTGCTGTCTCGAACGCTCGAGACATACCTTGTGTGGTCCACGTGTACGGAGATTGACGAGGACAACTGTCTCTATCCCTCCCAGGCGCTTTATTTGGAGATCGATGTTACCGATCTCACGTTTTGGGACCCGATCGCGAGGAGAAACGCGGCGCAGGACGAGGAGATAGGGGAAGCAGATGAAGAGGAGGAAGAAGAAGAGCCATCGAGTGAAGAACGGGACGATCCAGACTACGTCCCGGAAAGAGAAGCGGGGATAGCCGGCGGATCGAGCCAGTCGCAGGAAAAGAACGAAGAGGAGGAAGAGCAGAGGAAACGGAAGCGCCGGGAGACTGCGGAGAGAAAGCAACCCACGGCAAACGTTTCATCGATCGAGGATCCGTGGCGTGATCCGGAGCCACCAGAAGAAGAAGACGATGGAACCGCAGCAGAGGGATCGTGAAGAAGAAGGAGAAGAAGTGAATCATCAGCTTCCTCCGGCTCCCCGTCCCGGTCCTCCATTCGTCTACATCAAGATCTCGGCGTTCGGGCTTCGTCCCCGGTCGTTCTAATGCCGACCCCGTGACTACTTCATGCTTACCCGTCTTCCCGATAGACCCCCGTTCCCCGATGGTTGGTGTCCTTTCCCCCATCACCTCTTCTACCATCTCCACGCTACCCGCCTTCTAGTCTCCGTTTATCCGCATGCCACCACCCCCTCTGTGGCTGATTCCTTTCTCCTTCATGTGCTCCTGTTTAGCGCAGATTGGCGGGAATATAACCACGTAGAAATATACTGTATTATATTTGGGACTATTCCCGCCTGCGAAAACTACGAAGATTTTCACGCCGCCCTGCGACGGACCCTTTCTACCATCTACCCCGACCACATCGCCGCTTTTCGCCATCTTCATGAGGTCCCTCGCTTCCCCCGCATCCATCGCTCCTTCCACTACGCTTCCCTTCCTGATTTCGCCTCTCCTGCCATCAATCGATTCATGCCCCCTCTCCCCCTGAACCATCCGCCACCTTCGACTGCCATTCCCCGGGAACGTCTAGGGTCTACCCTCTTTTTTGCACTGATGCATGGTTAGTGGACACGTGTCATAACGGCGGCACGTGTAATCCCCCTCCTTGGAATGTCAAAAGCCCATCCTGAGGAATTAGTAGAAGAGCAGTGTTGCCACGTTGGACGACGTCCACACTCAATTGAACGGTAAGTGGCATAGAGAGAGATGCTCCGCGTGTCGGTCGATTAGAGAAATCGACACGTGTCAACAAGCAAGCAGGAGCTTGCTAATATTGGAACCCCCAGGACGTCACATATGTGACGAACCGCTTTCTGTAACGCGCGACTTTCCGCGCGGTTGCAATGAGGGGTCCTAAGTTGGGAAGGTTGGACCAATTACGGGAGATCGGGATCGATGGAAAATTGCATCAGTGTCCTTGCTTTTTCGTTTTTTTCGTTGCTTCTTTTCGAATGACTGGGTTCGGCGCTGGGCGGGCCCTGGGACGGCCGGTTGATTGATTGGTTGGCCGGATGGCTGGAGCGCCGCCGTGCGCGCGATTAATAAATTTTGACGTCGTTTCTTTTATTTCGGTTCCAAACTTTTGGGCGCGGACATCGCGCGGGAATTGCTTCGTTCTTTTGGGCGATGACTCTCGGAATTTCGGACTTTTTCTTCTGGCATTTTTGCTTTTTTGCTCCCTCGCATTAGATAGGAATTTAGGAATTTTGTAATTAATTTAGGATTTCCTTTGCCGCGCGGCGCTTTTTGTTTACGCGCTTCTTCATGCGGTTGCAACGGAACTCTGATTAGTCGGCGCCTTTAATCGTGTGTGTAACTGTAACTTTAGGCGGGCGTCATTGTAACTGTATCTTTCTTCTTGCGCTTCGTCTTTCCCGCCCTTCTTCTCTTTCTTTTGCTGCGTTTTTGGTAGCCGCAGTCTGCATGATCGGATCGATGCGTGGAGAGCGGCTACGTCCCCCACGCCGCGATCAGACCATGGAGATGTAGGCAATCCCTCCCCCTTTCCTTCTTCTAAGTCCTTGTAATTCCGTGTTCTTCACGCATGCATGCACGCTATAAATTTCGGCTGCGCGATTAGTTAACTCTCTTAACCAGTTGTTGGAAGCTCGGGGTTGCGCTGTCGGGCCTGGGGGTTGGTCCCTTCCCACGGCTCGTCCAGCCCGCCGGATATTCCCCACCGTCGGGAGGTAGCCGCTCGGCGTCGAGTCAACACTCCCCCCCCCCACTTCTCGGTCGCAGGCCGAGCTCGCCGCTTTATGGGAACTCTTACTAATCGTTACCCGGAGTTAAGATTCAGGGAGCTTCTTGCGACCGGCCGTTGGGGCAAAGCCCAACCTGACCTTTCGAAATGGATCGAGCTTGTCACAGTGGTAGATCCTTAGACAAGGGACTGCGCGTATGGCTCGAGAGGCTCCGCACAACCTATCGAGAGCTCATAAAATTAAGGCCTCGCCGAGCATGATAGGACCGGGGGCCAGTTTCGGCCCATTTGCACCAAAAGGGAAGTTCCGGAAACCGAACGACTCGGTGCTCAACGCAAGTGGCTTGTCACAACTCGCGGTAAAACTAACAAAGAGACGGACTCAGCGAGCACGAATAGACCAAGGAGATTGTAGCGGAACATAACCTGAAAAAAGGAATAGCTCGCTGTTCGAGTGAGCTCGGTCCAGACTGCACGATACAAGCGGCTTGTCACGAACTGCAGTAGAACAGAAGAGGACTCTTCGGGTGCGCACATACCATCGGGCTCGTCAAACAGGACTCATAAATTGAACAGCTTGCTGCTCAAGTGAGCTCGGTCCAAACTGTACTCGGCAAGCGGCTTGTCACGACCGCAGACGAACTAAAAGCAAACTCTTTTGAGCGCTAGTGGACCTAGGGGATAGTTAAACTCGACCGTTGCTGAAACAGAAACTCAAAAACCAAACAGCTCGCTGGTCAGGGCTTATGCAAGAGGCTTGTAACAAGCCGCAGTCGAACAAGATTAAAAAGGACTCATTTAGCGAGAGAGTAGACCAAGGAGCTTGTGGAACTAGACAATTGCAGAAACAGAAACCCAGAAACCAAACAGCTCGCTGGTCCAGGCTTATGCAAGAGGCTTATCACAAGCTGCAGCAAAGACAAAAGAGACTCATTTAGCGAGAGTAGGCCAAGGAGCTTGTTGAACTCGACAGCTGCGGAAACAGAAACTCAGAAACCAACCAGCTCGCTGGTCAAGGCTATACAAGAGGCTTATCACAAGCCGCAATCGAACAAGAAAAAAAAGGACTTATTTAGCGAGAGTAGAGCAAGGAGCTTGTTAAACTAGACAGTTGCGGAAAAGGAAACTCAGAAACCAAACAGCTCACTGGTCCAAGCTTATGCAAGAGGCTTATCACAAGCTGCAGTAGACCGGGAGGCCAGCCATTCGTATCGAAAAACTCTGTTTCGGAGTTCTAGAACCGGCTTGGTCCCGCTCAAGTCGACTTAATCTTGAGAGTCAGCGAGGCTCGGACGCGCAAACTTGAGTCGGGCCGGAGCCGAGGTGGGATGCACCGATTCTAGTTGTGGCGGCTTACCCGACCGCCCCCTTGCTCCTCATTGCTCCCCTCCTCTCCCTATCTTTCTCTCTTTCCTCGCCTTTAGCTTTTCTCCCTCTTTCTTCCTTCTCTTCTTTCTCCCGCACTTTCCTTCCTC